GTGCAGTTTCTGCGCAGTGTGGTAGCTACGAGCCAGCATCGTTCTGCATCGTTCTGCAGCTTTGCGGGCGAGGAACCTTCAATATTCAGGAGGGTCCCAAAAAGCCTCGTTATATGCCAGGACAACCACACATGCCGCGGCTATGCCGACTTAACGAGTGTCGTGGTCACACACCAACAATCTGTACCGTTGCTGTACCAAGTGTCGCCAATGGCCTTTAATGATAAGGCACAACATTGCGCAATTACAAATCGTGCGTATTGGGGGGGGGGGGGGGGGCATAAGGATGGCGGTCACACTGTCACAAGAAGATAAACTGTTCTGATGATCATAGGGAACTAAATAATGGTCAATTTAGAGGCAAACCGATTGGAAGAACGAGCTGGTTTGAGCAAAGGGGGTTTCGACCATTCACGAAAATCGGCAAGATTCTTTAAAATACAACCGAATATAAATTCGTGAGAGTTCTTCGTTGTTGGTAAGATTGCGTAAATTAAAAGTGTCCATAATCAACGTTTTTGGGTTTAGATCGCGTTATTTAAATGTGTCGTAACCCTCCACCACCCGACACGGCCAATCAGTCAAAAAGTGTCACGTTGACAAAAGACAAATTAGTTCACTGCTTTAGCCCACCGGTGTGTTGAAGCGCGAAACCACAACATTTACAATTTGAGTACGACGTTTCGCTGGTAATTGCATCCAGCATCATACTATTGGTAGCGAAAGCCTCCTACAACATGTTAAACAAAATATAAATAATTACCATTAAACTTGGCTTTAGCAGGCTATGAAAGGCATTCATTTCAGTGGAAACATGCAGTCATCCAAACTCTGGCACACAAACCTTAAAAAAATACTAGAGAACTTGAAAATCAATTCATAAAAACCAGGATCAGCAACAGCGAAAAGGGACAGTGACACGAAAACAATGTGAGAAGATAAGTCCGACGAGGATTTTCACTCACCAACGCTGTTTCACAGCAAAAACGGAAGACGTTTTTTTTGGAATCCGGATTGGATAAAAAGAAAGGTTTAAATGACACGTGGCAACAGTATAAACCGCTGAAAATTCACCCAAGACAGGCATTAGAAGCGATAGTGAATGATCTTTAGAAAAAAACGATTGGAAGAACTTTAGAAGGCTTTAAAGTGAGACTTCAAATAAATCCGAGCAAAACAAAAGTCAAGTACAAGTAGATTTAACAAAAATATAATCATTGTAGAGACAACTGCAAAAACTACCAGAATATTACATATCTGGGTCGATCATGGAAGGCAGACTGATCAAAATGAGGAAATAACAAGGAGAGTAAGATCAGGATTGAGTATATTGGTCGCGTACGCTTTCAATAACGGACAAAGGTGCCTGACGAATAACTTTCGCAATGTGTGTGTATTGCCTATCAGGACATAGGGATCTTAAAAAACATGGACAATGACAAATGAGAAGATCTAAAAAGTGCGCCAAGCAAGCGTGGAGGGGAATGCTTGGAATTCCAAGAGAAAGTTCAATGCCGAGACGGCCAAATAAAATTCCCCAAAACACAACACCGAATTTCGATTTAAAGCTTTCGCGACTGCAGGGATTCATCTTCTTGGTTCTTTCGGTAAAGTCACGTAGAAGGAAATAATAAAATAATAAAAATTAAACATAATCAAATAATTCACGACGTTTCGGCCACAACGCAAGCAGCCGTCCTCAGGTGAAGAATCTTTAGGAAACGTAAATTGGGCAGGATACGTCTCCATAAAGGGGTTTCGTGGGCAGTAGATGCCAAGATCACCGTGCAAGTTAGTTGGTAGGGACGTGTGCAGGTTGTGAGATGATACATCGAGGTCATCCAGCAGCGGATAAATCGTTGACGCAGCACGGCCACGCAAAACGCACTCTTGCACGGCGCAGTAACAGTGGTCACACGCCACGCACGCTCACAAACAACAATTATGATTGTAAATGGAGATTCTGTTTAACAAACCGCTACGATGGCAATGACACACAAGCACATCCTGTATACGTGCAACCGTTATAACGCACGCACGCGCGCAGAAAAACAAGAATTAGGGTATGACAGTGTTTAAGCAAGCAGAATAACCCCAACAATAACAACAATACAGATGACCAAACCCACCCCGGTAGTGCTCGATCTCGTCAGATACCAACAACCAAATTTTTTTTAATTTTTTTATCAGGTCCAGAGCTATGCAGCTCTTTTTTCAGAAGTGACTTGGCCACAGATATAGCTCAGCCAAGTGGCTTATCATGTGGAAACTTAGAGCAGGTAGCCAAATACACTCTTGACGAGTCTCAATGTGCTTGGGAAAAAACCGGAGGAACCCGGGAGAAAACTCCACGCGACCACGGGGAGAAAGACACACGCAAACTCCAAATATATACAGCAGCAGCAGGCGTCAGGGTCAGACCCACGACCTCTTGTATACCAGGCGAGGTAGTTAACATCTCGCACAGATTGGAAGCCAAGCAGAGGACTGGGCCTGCAAATTTCTGGAGGGGCGACTACCAACACACACACACACAGGTTGTTATCTACAGGCTGCTGGGGGGGCCTAACGTTATCAACAGAAGGTAGAAAAACAATTCCATTATTGTACTGCACTTACATATATGCTCCCGGCGTCTATTGCACCCCCGGCTCCAGCAATACACGAGAACCGGTGATATGGGGTTCCTCCCTTCACTACTATACCCAAACACCACTTGTATACAATACACACTAGTATACACACATACACTTCTATATAAACTAAAATATACCACTGCTATACGCTACGCGCACTGACCAGCGTGGTGAAGTATGGTCGAAACGCCCCCCACAGGCAAGGCGGGTTGGGTGTGCCGGGAGAAGGCCCTAGTGCAGTGGTTGACAACACAAAGTGCCGTTCTAGAGGGTAAACAAAACAATCAATAACAACACAACAAAGCGTGTAGGTTTAGCAAAGCACAGAGGAGGACCCCACCCACAAGATCGCTCTCTCACCACCACCCTCCCACCCAACCACACACCACACACTCACAACCCACGCCGTGACGTGAGCCCCTCGACAGACTAACAAGCAACTTAGAAGAAGTCACGCACGGAGGGAGAGTCTCAACGTCCCTCGCGATGTGGATATTTAAACTCTCTCTAAGCCAGAGGGCCCGGCACCAAGTAGGCCTCAGGCTTATTTTGTAACCGCGGGCAGTGGGAGGCTGTGTAGAGGCGAGGCTACCGCGTCCGCCTTTGTGTCTCTCCTCTCTCCGCTCTCTCTCTCGCTCATCTCTCTCCTGCAAGCTCCTCGTCGACCCGCACCGAGCGACGCGGGCACAAGACGACGACGACGAGAAGGTGGACGAGGTGGACGAAGCTGAGTTCGGAGATGTAACAGGAGGGCCGCCTCCGCGCCCTCGCGGAGCCGAGATCTCGCGAGACTTCGCGCCTCCTCTCGCGAGATTTATACCCCTCCCCCCCTTCCCCCACGCACGCCGCCACGGACTTATGCTAATTCACGCGCGCGCGTCACGTGGGCTCATTTGAATATGCTATTCTTTCTAGACTTGAAGCTTTCCTGACTGCAAGGAATCATATTCTTAGGTGTTTTCGGTAAAGTCACGTAGGTAAAACATCAAAATTAATAAAATAATCACGACGTTTCGGAGGCAACACGGAGACTTGTGTTGCCTCCGAAACGTCGTGATCTTTATTTTTATTTTATTATTTTATTAATTTTGATGTTTTACCTACGTGACTTTACCGAAAACACCTAAGAATATGCTATTCTTTGTTTTTTTCGGTAAAGTCACGTATATAAAGATAAAAGAATAAATTAAATAATAGCATACGACGTTTCGATTGCAACACAAGCAATCATCATCAGGTGTAATGAAATAGCGATATAGAATCTAACCAGAAAACTACAGACAGACATATAAGCAGACAGATATCACCAAGATACATAGAGATATCACGAAGATACATTTAATTTATTCTTTTATCTTTATACGTGACTTTACCGAAAAAACCAAAGAATAATTCCTGCAGTCACGAAAGCTCCAAAAATTAAGATTGAATATGCTAATTAGGTGCGATGATGGAGTTTGCCATGCCCGATAACTAGATTTGAAGCTTTCGTGACTGCAAGGATTCATACTCTTAGGTTTTTTTCGGTAAAGTCACGTAGGTAAAAAAAAGAAAAAAAAAATCATTCTTTTATATAAATAATAAAATGATGCATTAATAATCATTATTTTATTTCTATTTTTTTATTTTTACCTACGTGACTTTACCGAAAAAAAAACCGAAGAGTATTTGCCATGCCGTGTTGTTCTATGTTAATGAGGAAGCAGGCTGCGTATGTTGATGTGACTGGCTTACGTTGGATGCAAATGTGGTTAATAATTATTACTTAGAGCCAGATGTTAACTCCTTCGCCGATATGCAGGAGGTCGTAGGTTCGATCCAGACCCTGACTCCTGCGGTATATTAAAGATATTCAAAATCAAAATTGTATATTTGGAGTTTGCGTGTCTCTCTCATCATCACGGTGGCTATGAGACGTTAACTACCTCGCCTGGTATGCAAGAAGTCGTGGGTTCGATCCTGACCCAGACGTCTGCTGCTGTATATTTGGAGTTTGTGTGTCTCTCTCATCATCACGGTGGCTAGGAGATGTTAACTACCTCGCCTGGTGTACAGGAGGTCGTGGGTTCTATCCCGACCCTGATGGCCTGCTGCTGTATATTTGTAGTTTGCATGTCTCTCTCTCTCCCCGTGGTCGCGTGGAGTATTTGGCAGCTGCAAAACATTTACACGTGATGATGATGACAAGCCACTTCGTTGAGCTATCATTTGTGATAGCCAGGGTCGTTTATGAAAAAGAGCTAAATAGTAGCTCTGTGGGGCCTAGACCTGGTAAAAAAAAATGTTTATTTGGTGACCCTGCTGTTACCGCTGCGTTGGCAGTGGTGCACAAGTAATGCTCACAAAATAAACCTATTAACCCAGCCGTCAATGCACATTTTTTTTATATGTGCACTATTTTCGTTCAACTGAGCGATCCTCCGCGAGATGTAACCGAGTCATCCTGGTGCTCGAGTGTTCGTGCGTGTGGGCATTTAATGCGGTACGGGAGGACGTGGAGCTGAGTGGACTTGCCGATGACCGGTACCAGCAGTGTCAAGATCGGCCTCTGTGGAGGAGGTTCGTGAAGGACGCTGCTGCTGCTGCTGCTACTGGGCAGTTGGAGGCAGTCGCCCTCCAGCAACAACAGAGGGCAGAGAGGTGCGACACTCACAACAACGAGGTGGATAAAATACAGCAAGTTGGCAGAATAGGGCGTACAGCTGGTGTGCATCTACCGGTCATCTCAGCCAACCCATGGCACCTGCTGGGTCTATTTCGAAACCTCCTGCACCTAGCCTGGCACAGTAGGGGGGTACAGCTGGTGGTGCATCTACCGGTCATCTCAGCCAGCCCATGGCAACTGCTGGGTCTGTCCCGAGACCTCCTGCACCTAGCCTGGCACAGTAGGGGGGTACAGCTGGTGGTGCATCTACCGGTCATCTCAGCCAGCCCATGGCAACTGCTGGGTCTGTCCCGAGACCTCCTGCACCTAGCCTGCCACAGTAGGGGGGTACAGCTGGTGGTGCATCTACCGGTCATCTCAGCCAACCCATGGCAACTGCTGGGTCTGTCCCGTGACTTCCTGCACCTAGCCTGGCACAGTAGGGGGGTACAGCTGGTGGTGCATCTACCGGTCATCTCAGCCAGCCCATGGCAACTGCTGGGTCTGTCCCGTGACTTCCTGCACCTAGCCTGGCACAGTAGGGGGGTACAGCTGGTGGTGCATCTACCGGTCATCTCAGCCAACCCATGGCAACTGCTGGGTCTGTCCCGGGACTTCCTGCACCTAGCCTGCCACAGTAGGGGGGTACAGCTGGTGGTGCATCTACCGGTCATCTCAGCCAGCCCGTGGCACCTGCTGGGTCTATTTCGAAACCTCCTGCACCTAGCCTGGCACAGTAGGGGGGTACAGCTGGTGGTGCATCTACCGGTCATCTCAGCCAGCCCATGGCACCTGCTGGGTCTGTCCCGAGACCTCCTGCATCTAGCCTGCCACAGTAGGGGGGTACAGCTGGTGGTGCATCTACCGGTCATCTCAGCCAACCCATAGGCAACTGCTGGGTCTGTCCCGAGACCTTCCTGCACCTAGCCTGGCACAGTAGGGGGGTACAGCTGGTGGTGCATCTACCGGTCATCTCAGCCAGCCCATGGCAACTGCTGGGTCTGTCCCGTGACCTCCTGCACCTAGCCTCGCATAGTAGGGGGGTACAGCTGGTGGTGCATCTACCGGTCATCTCAGCCAACCCATGGCAACTGCTGGGTCTGTCCCGTGACCTCCTGCACCTAGCCTGGCACAGTAGGGGGGTACAGCTGGTGGTGCATCTACCGGTCATCTCAGCCAACCCGTGGCACTTGCTGGGTCTGTCCCGAGACCTCCTCCTGTCAGCAGCGAGCCTTCAACACTTCACGTGGCCTCAAAGTGCACCTAGCCTGGCACAGGCGCCGTGCTGACGTCACTTAGTGGCGAATGGTCGGGTATCGGTATTGTGCATTTAAATATCCAGCAGATTTCTCTGTTCCGACTTGCGAACGGGTTTCCAAGGAACGAATTGCGTTCGTAAGTCGATGACTGTGCGTACTCCACCTTACCGTCACCTGCACACAAACTGACTTTAAACAAACTCCATCTCCCAGCGTTTCACCCCTCCTCTCCCCCTTGGCTGTCGCTCCGTTGTTAGTCTCAACCACAGGGCACCGTCCCTTGGTAAGTGCCGCGTCCCAAGGGGCCGTCCATAAATGACGTCACGCGATTTTGGACGATTTTTGACCCCCCCCCCCCCCCTCGTCACACGGCGTCACTAAAAGTCAGACCCCCCCCCCCTCAAATATGACGTCACAAAGCTCTGCCCCCCCCCCCCAATAAAATACAAGCTTCAAATCGCTTTAAACTATTGTCATTGTAATGCGTATTTAATATGCCGCTGCACTCTGATGTTGTAGGAGAAAACATTTATTAAAAAGTCTATTTAATTAAGTAGAACGTGTTGTCTATATTTATTTAAAGTTGCGCATTTTGATGTGACGTCACATTTCTCAACCCCCCCCTCCTCGTCACAAATTTCTGACACCCCCCCCCCCCCAGGTGCGTGACGTCATTTATGGACGGGCCCCCCCAATCCACTCGTTCTTCTTCTCCGTCTCTCATATCAGCGCAATCGCACCACGCATTTTTTCGCTCAACTGTTCGATTTTTTTTCTTCCAATAACCAATATTGCGTTTCTGAACGCACGCCCAAATGGGATAGGAGCCACTGATACGCCAAAAAAAACCCCCGTCTTCTTCTGTAAGATATTAATGTCAAAATAAAATTCCATACCGACAGTGCTGAGCAAACGTGTTACTTTGTTGAGGCTCCACTGCTGTGTGGCGTTATCTTGGCGTGTTCTGGGCACCGTTTTGGTTGACATTTTTGCCGCCTCGCCCAATCTTGATAAAACTCCGACTTAAAACACATTCCTGCGGAGGGAGCTGGTAGAAACGTTGGGTTGCTCGGTCAATGGCCAGGGTCAACGGCGGCGTGGTGTATTCCGCAAATATGCCCGACTGAGGGCGGGCACAAGCCGGCGTGAGTAGGTTAAACGTTGAGTTTTATAAGGGCGCCACGGGGTGACCAGCCCTTCCCCACCCAGCCCCACCCCTCCCACCCTCCCCACCCAGCCCCTCCCCTTCCACCCCACCCTCCCCACCCAGCCCCTCTCCACCCTCCCCACCCAGCCCCACCCTCTCCACCCAGCCCCTCCCTGCACGACGGACGGACGGACACAATAATCCCCTGTGGGCTGGTGTAACCAGGAGGTTCCTACCAGTATAATTTGTCTACATTGGCCTTCAAACGAGTTAAATAGTCCGGCGGTGGACTATCCGTTTGCTTAAACACGTTAATATTATTAATCCTCTGATCGTTTCTGCGTAAATTAAATATCGGCCGTTCTATAGGATTCGGGAGGGGGGGGGTGCGTCAGGCGTACGTACGCATGTGGGTGGGGGGGGCGGTGTAAAGAGTTCGCGTGCGTACAGAGGCAGGGGGAGAAGGGGTCAAGTTTTGACAGATTTTTGCGTACCGACTAAATGGATGGCCCCAAACGCTGCCAGCGTGGTGCTGATCATCAGCCCGATTAACGAATCGCGCTTCACCCACCGGGCCCGGCTTCCGTACCTCGCCTCTATAAAGCGTGGGGTTATGGCCGCCATCATGGCGGCGCCCACCCCCCACCCACGTGGCGAGCACGTGGCGTCCCGTAATAGCAAAAACCAAGACTCGGACGCCCGCCGACCTGAGTTGCACAAATAAATAAATAGCAACACACCGAGGGGGGTGGTTCCGATTGAGGGGAAAGAACCACGGACATCGTCTGGATATGCCATTGGGCCTGTGAAACGCGTTCGCGCGCACGCGGGATCATGGACGCCGTGAATTTCAACGCGGAGTGGTCAAGCGAGCAGACTTATTACAAGGACGGAAAGGTGTGGTGTTGGCCGCGTGTTTGCCCCATGTGCGTGGTGTGTGTGTGTGCACATAGCCTGGCACAAGCGTGACGTCACCGCCACTTAGTGGCGGATGGCGGTTGTTGTTGTGGTTGGGCGGTATAGCGGTTAGCGCGCTAAACTCTCCAATTTCCGATTCCCGATCGCGGGCCAGGATCGGTGACGATTATCTGAACCGGTCCAGGGGCCTCCCCTAAGTCGATTGGACTTAAACGAGATTCCTGGTGCGGTGTGTAAAACTCTGCCGCTTAGGGAGACAAAGGCGGCCGGGCGTGGAATTGAGATGTGTTACTCGCGAACAGCCCTTGCCCCAACACACCGGTGTTGCTGTACTAGTAATGAATTGGCACGTTTACGTGATGAACCCGTACTGATTGGCTGTGGCGGGTGGTGGCGGGTTAAACGACGCTATTAATTGATCTAACCCCAAAAAAAAGCTCTTATTATGATGGCACGTTCTGTTTAAGTGACAAACTTTACTGATTGCCTGTGTTGGGTGGTGGCGAGTTGAACGACACACCTGTTTAAGTGACAAACTTTACTGATTGCCTGTGTCGGGTGGTGGCGGGTTGAACGACGCATTTACGAGATCTAACCCCCAAACAAACCTATATTATGGATATTGGTCGCGAAAGTCTACTACGCGTTAAACAGTTTGTTTAAGGCGATACGGGGGGGGGGAGGGGGGTCTTGGGGTGGTTACGCGAGCGGTGGCGCAGTAGTTAGCGCATGGCAGTGTCGGCGACAAATCCGAGTTCGATTCCCGCTGGCGGGGCCGACGCTGTTGTGTCGACGGTCCGGGCCCCCCCCCCTCTTCAAGGCCGACCCTCGAGCGGTAGATCTCAAGCCTGAGATGAGTTCCTGTACCTGGTCGCGATGCGTGTGGCGTTAACGGGTACCACTGGGCAGACGGAAGGGCAGCCCCCACCTCCCCTCCACGCGTGGTGACGTCTTCAAAGGTAGCCGCTCAACACGGATTTGTTGGTGGTGGTGGCGATGGGGGGATGTTTGTTTTTGTGTGCGCGTGCGTTACCACGTGGGGGAGCGGTGGTGCAGCGGTTAGCGCGCCGCGCTAAGAACTTGGCGACCCGGGTTCGATTCCCGCTCACGGCCAACACCGGTGGCGATTATCTGAACCGGTCGGTCTCCCCTAGGTCGACTCGGCCTCAAATGAGTACCTGGTGCGGTGTGTAGTAAACATTGCCACTGGGGAGACAAAGGCGGCCGGGCGTGGTGTTGGCCACCCACACCCTCTCGTGTGCCGTGCCGGCCTTCATAGGTGCTCGCTAACAGCACTTGCCCCTACAGTCTGTTAAGGCTATACGGGGGCATCTTTGTCTTTGTTACCGCGTGTGCACGAGTGGTGCACGTGCTGCTGGACTGCTGGTTCTGTGACCCCCGGTGCCCATGACTGGACATGTGTGTATAATTATGATTGTGTGTGTGTGTACGTCCGCGTGAATTGGCTTGCGGTCTGTGTGCAGATATGCGAGAGAAGGAAAAAAAACCTCCGGCGTCGTTCCACCGATGTCAAATTTTTTTACGCTTTTATTTTACTCAATTTTAACCCACATCCCAATGTGGTATCGACTGCAAACTTGGTATACGTATGTCATACTGATGACATAAAAATAAAAAAATAAAGTATTTTTAAACATTCATTTTTATATGCTATGTTTCGGCTTGGGTCGAATTGTCCACGCTCAACTAACGTTGGCTGTAAATCACCACGGGCCCCTTACATTGTGGCAAGCCTCGGGGCCACTTCCTGCAGTCGTGGAGTTCTGCCATTACGAGTAGGGTGCATTTCATTAAAGCGTGTTTAAAACAAAGTTTTTAAAATATTACTCATTTTATCATTGCGCACTTCAAAGTGCGCGCATGGTCGGGGTTGTGTTAGTGACGACCACCCACCCCGACGACAGTGGTGGTGGTGGTGGTGCTGTGATGACCGCACTCCAGCGCGCGAAGGGTTTCCCCCCCCCCCCCCCCCCGTCTTGGCCACGGGAGGCAAACAAAAGAGCCCAACATGGGAGCAAGGTTGCATTGTCGCCAGCGGTAGCCAAGTGCCAAGTGCCCGAAACCCACCCCGGTGGTCGGGGTCTTTCAGAGGTCGCAAATGGGTTTTGATTCCTTACCCGTACCCGGCCGCACCAGGGTCGCAAACGGGTACCTGTACCCTACCCGATACCCGGCTTCCCGTACCAGGCCGGGTATCGGGTAGGGTAGGGTACGGGTACCCGATTGCGACCTATGGGATGAAGCCATGTTGCAGGCGCGGGTGGGTTGATTCTAGGAACTTGAATTGTGAGAAGAGACAAGACGTTGGGAAATGAGTGACAAACAGTTACTCACCTGTGACTCACGGCCTACCCGTACCCGGACGCACCAGGGTCGCAAACGGGTACCCGTACCCGGCCGGGTACGAGTAGCCGGGTATCGGGTAGGGTACGGGTATCGGGTACCCGGTTGCGACCTCTGATGTGCACGCGTGTGTGTCGTGGGTAACGGTGCGTTGTGTGTGCAGGGTCAGCGGCGCGTGGCCTTGAGGAGCGTCAGCAACGTTGGCAGCGTCGCAGCGAGGCGACGATGCCAGGACCGGAGACGGCATCCCAAGAAGACGCAGGCACGACACTCGGAACCCCCCCCCCCCACACACACACACACACGTTAACATTTTCCCGTTCCGATGACGTACACGTGTACGTACGTGTACGTCATAAAAACGAAAACCGGAAGAAAAAATTAAATCCGTACCGAGGCTCCCACAAGGCCATGCGCTGGAGGCCATGTTGGCACAGTTTGCGGTCTTGTAAATATTGGATCTCTGCGGTGAGTAAAATGTACTCTTTGGTTCTTTCGGTAAAGTCACGTAGATGAAAAATAATAATAATAAAAATAATAAAATGAAATCTTTTTTTTCTCACCTACGTAACTTTACTGAAAGAACCAAAGAGTATGGATCCTTGCAGTCACGAAAACTTCAAGTCTTGAGTAAAATGTCTTTAAAAAAACAATGGCGCTACGCCTCCCTAAATACAATTTTCACCAAGCCGCTCCCACGTTCCGAGATTCGGCGGTGAACGGGACACCCCACCCTGCAACGTGCAGCCTCAAAACGGGAAAGGGCTAACGGCACTCGCCCCAACAACCTTCTATCCAACTACACCGAGGATCTTTCACGTTTTTTTTCCACTGCACAGCCGACCCATGCCGGGGGGGCTGTGCCCAACCACCCTGGCATGGGTCAAGAGCCTCCAGGTTTTTTTGGATTCCACTACGGAAGCCAATGAATGTGTCTTATATAGCCCTGCCCCTAGCCTGGCCCTGCTTGGCCCCCTCCCTACCGAGCCAAATTCAGAAGTGCTACGAGGCGGACGTATCGCGGTTTGGTTTCGACTCGGTGTGGACAACGACCAACGGGATGACCCCCCCCCCCCGCCTGTTTGCCCCCTCCCCCCACCCCGGACTTTTTTGTTCTTCTCCATCGGCAGCTCTGCACCCCCATGGTGGGGCCCCCACTGCAGGCCGCCGGCAGCAGCGCCGGCAGCGGCGGCGGTGGCGGCAGCGGCGCCGCCTGCGCCCAGGACGCGGGGGCCCCGCCGGCGCCGGCGCGCAAATGCAGCCGCCGTGTGTCGTCCAGCGACGCCCACTCGGCCGTGTCGCGCGACCTCCGACCCCTGCTGCCGCTGCCCACTCCTGCCGCCGTCGCGTCGTCGTCGTCGTCGTCGCAAGGTGGGCGGTGTCCGCCGCTCGCCGCTGATGAACGGCGACACCTCTCGGTGACCTCGTCGACGAGCGTGCACTGTCATCGTCCCTGTGTATCCGTCTGTGTGTCTGTCTGTGTGCGTGCGTGCGCGTGTAGGCGGTGTGGGCCACCCGCTGTCTTACCGTGTGTCCGTGTGCATGCGTCCCCTTGTGTGTCTGTCTATGTGTGTGTCTGTGTGTGTGTGTCTGTGTGTGTGTCTCCGTGTGTGTGTCCGTGTGTGTGTGTCCGTGTGTGTCCGTGTGTGTGTGTCCGTGTGTGTGTGTCCGTGTGTGTGTCCCCGTGTGTGTGTGTCCGTCTGTGTCCCTGTGTGTGTAGGCAGTGTGACCCATCCGCTGTCTTACCGTGTGTGCATGTGTCCCCTTGTGTGTGTGTCCATGTGTGTGTGCGTGTGTGCGTGCGCGTGTAGGCGGTGGGAGCGACCCGCTGGCGCGCATGCAGTTGCTGACGCTCAACGACGCTCGCACGTCGCCAGGCGGGAGGCCCCAGGAGCGCGACCGCCACCGCGAGCTGGCGCTCACGCTGCAGCAGCTGGGCATGTGCTCCGAGGCCAACTACGCCAACGATCTCTACCTCTACATGATGGTGCGCCGCGCCACCCTCGCCACGCTATCGTCAAAAAATAAATCTTGTAACTCAATTTGTACACACTTCCCAATGTGCTGTCGACTGCAAACTGGAAATAGCGATGTCATACTGATGACAACACGATATTCGGTCATAAAAAAAATCCAAAACATTTTTTTTCTTACTTTTTACACGCTTTTATTTAACTTGCTCTGTGTGGTGTCGTATCCAAAAATCTTGTAACTCAATTCGAACCGTATTCCCAATGTCGTATCGACTGCAAACTTCGTATACGTATGCCGTACTGCTGACAATACTATATTCTACCATTAAAAATAAAATGTATATTTTGAAGCAATCTTTTTTATATCATATGTTTCGGCTTGGGTCTAATTGTCCACGCCAAACTGACGTTGGCTGTAAATCACCACGGCCCCTTACGTTGTGGCAAGCTTCGGGGCCACTTCCTGGAGTCGTGGAGTTCTGCCATTACTCGTACGGTGCATTTCATTAAAGCGAGTTAAAAAAAAAGTTTTTTAAAATATTACTTATTTCAGAAGCGCGACCTGGTTATCGCAAACGATCGCTCACCCAGGTGTCTCGTCCGCCGTCGTCATCGTCGTCTCGTGGAAATTTCTGAGCGGCCGAGATAGTCTTCGAGATGCGCGACGTCGATTCTGATCGAGGAGGGGGAAACCAGAGGGCCCGGAGAGAGAAGAAATAAATCCACGCGACCACGGGGTTAGAGAGAGAGAGGGAGACATGCAGACCTGGCTATCTTCTGATGATGCCGGTTGTAATTACTGGCGAAACGTCGTAGTCAGATTGTAAATGTTGTGGCTTTGCTCTCCAACACACCGGTTAGTGCTGTACTAGTATACTACACACTACACTATACACTACACACTAGTCCTGTACTAGTGACAAATTGGCACGTTCTGTTTACGTGACAAACCTTACTAGAGTGGTACCCCGGAGATCGGACTTAATTCGTTCCAGAAGGCCATTCGAACACCGATTTGTTCAAACACCGAATTAATTTTCCCCATAAGAATTAATGTAAATGACATGAATTGGTTCCAGACACAAGAAATCTCTCATTATAAAGCATTTTTTACACGAAGTTTACAGTAATTACATGCATAAAATCATACAAAAAAACAAGAAACAATAAATAAATGGAATAAATGAAATAAAAGAACATTGAACTTCACTTTACCTGTAGTAAGGAGAGTTGATGGCTTGAGTGGAAGGTGGTGAGGAGGAGGAGGTGGTAAAACCTTTGTCTAGGCAAGCGTCATGCACGCTGGCCATACGCGTCTCAGCCGTACAGGTTCTTTCAAGTCGCGATTGCCCGTTCGACCTCCGAATTTCGTTTGGTTTCCGGGGCAAATTTTTTTCGGAAAGATCATTCGAACACAGATTTGTTCGAGTTCTGGTGCGTTCGATCTCCGAGGTTCTACTCTAGTTGGCTGTGTTGGGTGGTGGCGGGTTTTAACGACACATTTACAGTGATACCTCGGTTCACGAACGCTTCTGTTCACGAACAACTCGGTTCACGAACAGAAAAGTTCATAAAAATATGCTCCGGTTCACGAACTCCGCTTCGGTTCACGAACAGGAGCCGCGGCCATTTTAATGCTATTTCCAGGCTGTCACGTGGTCGTGACTTCCTGTAGGAAGATCGTGGAGAGAAGAAGAGACACAGAAAGAAGTACTGTGAGTACTGTGAAGACACTTTAAGTGACTTTTTGCTTTTTGGTGTGCTTTTTAGCACATACAGTACTGTACTACTGTACTGTACTGTACAATACTGTACTTACTGTATTGTACAGTTCACCCGTTTGAGTGCTTACTGAAGTCATCTCAAGCAAGGTTAGTGTTCTTTCTTTATACATTACTATACTGTACAGTACTAATGTGTATTGTAATTTGTTTCATAGTTTTGTGCTTCAGAAACCAAAAAAAAAGGTCAGAACGGATTAACCGGATTTACATTGAACCCTATGGGAAAATGTGCCTCGGTTCACGACCAATTCGGTTCGCGACCAGAGTCAGTTCACGAATTAAGTTCGTGAACCGAGGTATCACTGTATATTTTTAAGCGACCTAACCCAAGCGCCACCTCACCACCATCACCACCCCACCCCCCGCCCCCTCCCCCGCCAACCCTACAGCGGCGCCATCAGCACCAGCAGTTCCGCGTCTCCGACGTCCCCCAGGCGCTGACTCAGCGCATGCGAGGCCTGCTCGTCGACTGGCTCGTGCAGGTGCAGGTGAGCGCACGCGTGACGGGGGCCGGCTGACCGCTGGCGCCCTGCACAGCCGGCACCCGCGCTGACGGCTTTTCCCGGTGGTTCACGACGCATTTGACAGCTTGCGTCCTTTGCGGACTGGCGCACGGGGCAGGTGGTTGCGCGCGACGGCACGGGGACGCGTGAAGGCTGCCCGACCGTGTAACCGCGTGGCTGCGTGCGTGCGCGCGCAACGGTGAGCGCAGGTGTACTTTGAGATGTCGGAGGAGACGCTGTACCTGGCCGTGTACCTGCTCAACGCGTACCTGCGCGTCGCCGAGCTGCACGTCCCCACGCTGCAGCTGCTGGGCATGACGTGCCTCTACGTGGCCTGCAAGGTGGAGGAGAGCTCCGTGCCAGAGGCAAGGCAAACACCCCCCCCCCCCCCCCCCCCCCGTGTAGCTTGCAACAGACTGTTGGGGCAAGTGCTGTTAGCGAGCACCTATGAAGGCCGGTACGGCACACGAGGGGGTGGGGTGGCCAGCACCACGCCCGGCCGCCTTTGTCTCCCCAGTGGCAATGTTTACTACACGCCGCATCAGGTACTCATTTGAGGCCGAGTCGACCTAGGGGAGGCCCATGACCGTTTCAGATAATCGTCACCGGTGTTGGCCGTGAGCGGGAATCTAACCCGGGTCGCCGGGTTCGTAGCAGCTCGCGGCACGGACCCTGCGAGCCGCGACGAATCCCGCGGATAGGCGCGTCGTTGACCCCTGACCCCCGACCCCCTCGGCTGAGCCCCCCACCGCTCCCCGTGTTGACCCCTGGCAGGTGCACATGCTGTGCTACCTGATGGAGCACACCTACCGCAAGGAGCAGCTGCTGCGCATGGAGCGCCTGCTGCTGGAGCGGCTCAAGTTCAGCCTCTACTATGTCCAGCCGCTGCACCTGCTGCAGGTGCTGCTGCATCTGTCGGACGCCTGCCAGGAGGTACGCGCTCAGGCCCGAACCCACGGACACAATGACCCCCCCGAACCCCGACGATCCCCCTGTCCGTCCGTCCGTCCGATCTCACGGCCAACAACCGTTGACACCACGATAATTTCCAAAACCGGTCCTGGCGCCCTCCCCTGAGTCGACTGGGTGAGGTGCGTAAAAACAACGCCTACCGGGGAGACAAAGGCGACCGGGCGCGTAGTGCTGGTCACCCACCCCCCCACACCCTCCTTATGTGCCGTGCCGGCCTTCATAAGTGCTACTCGCTAACGTAATCGGAATCTGTAGTTATACTGAAGGAGGAATCCCATGTCCAGTAGGGGCACGGGGTCAGAACGCATAAAAAGTACAAAAACACGATAGGAGTGCAAAGTCCAAGGTAAACAAACATACAGATACAACTAAACCATCCCCATCCATCCAGGCAAAGCCCACCGAGGTGTTAACTTATTTTTCAGAAGCTGCCTGGCCACCACAAATGATAAGCTCAACAAAGTGACCCCTATCATTTGGACATTTCTAGTGAAAAAATATATCTAAATAATCTCAACAATAGCACTTGCCCCCACAGTCTGCTGAGGCTACACGGCGCCGGCTAGCAAACCGTTGTTGTTGTTCTGACGCTTGAGTGTCGGGAGTCATTTATCTTCGCGCGGTTAAGTTGCTGCTCCGTACGATCCCCCAATCGCGTCGCGCGCCGCTTTCAGATGCACTTCTGCGGCCGTCTGAAACGCTCTTTCCTTCCTGTGGATGTAGATGCCACACTGGTTCTTTACGTTCTGCAAATATAGATACCACTGGTTCTTCACTACACTATACACTACACTATACACTACACTATACACTACTATACACTACACTATACACTACTGTACACTACACTATACACTACACTGTACATTACACTATACACTACTATACGCTACGCTACACACTGTACACTATGCTGTACACTACACTATACACTACTATACACTACACTATACACTCTACACTACTATACACTAGGCTGTACACTACGCTGTACACTACACTATACACTACTATACACTACACTATACACTCTACACTACTATACACTAGGCTGTAGACTACACTATACACTACTATACGCTACGCTACACACTATACACTACGCTGTACACTACGCTGTACACTACACTATACACTACTATACACTACACATTGTGCTCTGTGGAGGCCCGTCGTTAAGCGATTAGTCGTTAACGAGGTCGTCGTCAGGACGGTCTTATAAGTGCCGACCTCTGACCTTGTGATTCCCACCCCTCCCGCACCCCCCACCCACTTCTGACCCCTGACCACACGAGCCAGATCACCTTCCTGTCCACGTACCTGATGGAGCTGTCGCTGAGCGACGTCGACTCGGTGACGTTTGGCGCCATGCAGCTGGCGGCCGGTGCACTGTGCCTGGCGCGGCACGTGACGCTAGAGTACCGGCACGGCGTGATGGGCATCGTCGACGGGGAGACGGCGTGGAACGACACGCTCGGCTACTACTCCTCGTACAGGTGAGGGGGGAGAGAAACACTCGTACAGGTGACGGGAGAGAGAGAAACACTCGTACAGGTGACGGGGAGAGAGAGAAACACTCGTAGAGGTGAGAGAGTGAAACACTCGTAGAGGTGACGGGGAGACAGAGAAACACTCGTAGAGGTGACGGGAGAGAAACACTCGTAGAGGTGACGGGGAGAGAAACACTCGTAGAGGTGACAGGGGGAGAGAGAAACACTCGTAGAGGTGAGAGGGAGAGAAACACTCGTAGAGGTGAGAGAGAGAGAAACACTCGTAGAGGGGAGAGAGAGTGAAACACTCGTAGAGGTGAGAGAGAGAAACACTCGTAGAGGTGAGAGAGAGAGAAACACTCTTAGAGGTGAGAGAGTGAAACACTCGTAGATGAGCGAGTGAAACACTCGTAGATGGGAGAGAGAAACACTCGTAGAGGTGAGAGAGTGAAACACTCGTAGAGGTGAGCGAGTGAAACACTCGTAGAGGTGAGAGAGTGAAACACTCGTAGATGAGCGAGTGAAACACTCGTAGATGGGAGAGAGAAACACTCGTAGAGGTGAGAGAGTGAAACACTCGTAGAGGTGAGCGAGTGAAACACTCGTAGAGGTGAGAGAGTGAAACACTCGTAGATGAGCGAGTGAAACACTCGTAGATGGGAGAGTGAAACACTCGTAGAGGTGAGAGAGTGAAACACTCGTAGAGGTGAGAGAGTGAAACACTCGTAGATGAGCGAGTGAAACACTCGTAGATGGGAGAGAGAAACACTCGTAGAGGTGAGAGAGTGAAACACTCGTAGAGGTGAGCGAGTGAAACACTCGTAGAGGTGAGAGAGTGAAACACTCGTAGATGAGCGAGTGAAACACTCGTAGATGGGAGAGAGAAACACTCGTAGAGGTGAGAGAGTGAAACACTCGTAGAGGTGAGAGAGTGAAACACTCGTAGATGAGCGAGTGAAACACTCGTAGATGGGAGAGTGAAACACTCGTAGAGGTGAGAGAGTGAAACACTCGTAGATGAGCGAGTGAAACACTCGTAGAGGTGAGAGAGTGAAACACTCGTAGATGGGAGAGTGAAACACTCGTAGAGGTGAGAGAGTGAAACACTCGTAGAGGTGAGAGAGTGAAACACTCTTAGAGGTGAGAGAGTGAAACACTCGTAGATGAGCGAGTGAAACACTCGTAGATGGGAGAGTGAAACACTCGTAGAGGTGAGAGAGTGAAACACTCGTAGAGGTGAGCGAGTGAAACACTCGTAGAGGTGAGAGAGTGAAACACTCGTAGATGAGCGAGTGAAACACTCGTAGATGGGAGAGAGAAACACTCGTAGAGGTGAGAGAGTGAAACACTCGTAGAGGTGAGCGAGTGAAACACTCGTAGAGGTGAGAGAGTGAAACACTCGTAGATGAGCGAGTGAAACACTCGTAGATGGGAGAGAGAAACACTCGTAGAGGTGAGAGAGTGAAACACTCGTAGATGAGCGAGTGAAACACTCGTAGATGGGAGAGAGAAACACTCGTAGAGGTGAGAGAGTGAAACACTCGTAGAGGTGAGCGAGTGAAACACTCGTAGAGGTGAGAGAGTGAAACACTCGTAGATGAGCGAGTGAAACACTCGTAGATGGGAGAGAGAAACACTCGTAGAGGTGAGAGAGTGAAACACTCGTAGAGGTGAGCGAGTGAAACACTCGTAGATGAGCGAGTGAAACACTCGTAGAGGTGAGAGAGTGAAACACTCGTAGATGAGCGAGTGAAACACTCGTAGATGGGAGAGAGAAACACTCGTAGAGGTGAGAGAGTGAAACACTCGTAGATGAGCGAGTGAAACACTCGTAGATGGGAGAGAGAAACACTCGTAGAGGTGAGAGAGTGAAACACTCGTAGAGGTGAGCGAGTGAAACACTCGTAGAGGTGAGAGAGTGAAACACTCGTAGATGAGCGAGTGAAACACTCGTAGATGGGAGAGAGAAACACTCGTAGAGGTGAGCGAGTGAAACACTCGTAGAGGTGAGAGACGTATATATCTGTGTGCTTGTTTATTGACACGTGTTTCTATGGCCGCGTTTACAGACATGTCTCCGAGCGTGTCCGTGAAGCCGTGTTTATCGACCCAAGTTTACCTGTGTTCATCACCTGCGTGTGTGTTTGTCGACCCAAGTTTACCTGTGTTCATCACCTGCGTGTGTGTGTTTATGGACACGTGTTTATATACTGTGTGTATATATAATATATACTGTGTGTGTGTGTGCCAGTGTTTATGGATGTGTCTACGATTGTCGCATGTCTGCGTGTGCCAGAGAGCACGTGCTGTGCCTGCTGTGCCTGCTGTGTCTGCTGTGTCTGCTGTGCCTGCTGTGTCTGCTGTACCTGCTGTACCTGCTGTGCCTGATGTGTCTGCTGTGCCTGCTGTGTCTGCTGTGCCTGCTGTGTCTGCTGTGCTTGCTGTGCCTGCTGTGTCTGCTGTGCCTGATGTGCCTGCTGTGCCTGATGTGCCTGCTGTGTCTGCTGTGTCTGCTGTACCTGCTGTACCTGCTGTGTCTGCTGTGCCTGCTGTGCCTGCTGTGTCTGCTGTGTCTGCTGTGCCTGCTGTGTCTGCTGTGCCTGCTGTGTCTGCTGTGCTTGCTGTGCCTGCTGTGCCTGCTGTGCCTGCTGTACCTGCTGTGCCTGCTGTGCCTGCTGTACCTGCTGTGTCTGCTGTGCCTGCTGTGCTTGCTGTACCTGCTGTACCTGCTGTACCTGCTGTGCCTGCTGTACCTGCTGTGCCTGCTGTGCCTGCTGTACCTGCTGTGCCTGCTGTACCTGCTGTGTCTGCTGTGCTTGCTGTGCCTGCTGTACCTGCTGTACCTGCTGTGTCTGCTGTACCTGCTGTGCCTGCTGTGTCTGCTGTACCTGCTGTGCCTGCTGTGTCTGCTGTACCTGCTGTACCTGCTGTGTCTGCTGTGCCTGTACCTGCTGTACCTGCTGTGTCTGCTTACCTGCTGTGCCTGCTGTACCTGCTGTGTCTGCTGTACCTGCTGTGTCTGCTGTGCCTGCTGTACCTGCTGTACCTGCTGTGTCTGCTGTACCTGCTGTGCCTGCTGTGCCTGCTGTGTCTGCTGTACCTGCTGTGCCTGCTGTGTCTGCTGTGCCTGCTGTGTCTGCTGTGTCTGCTGTGTCTGCTGTGCCTGCTGTGCCTGCTGTGCCTGCTGTGTCTGCTGTGCCTGCTGTGTCTGCTGTACCTGCTGTGCCTGCTGTGCCTGCTGTGCCTGCTGTGCCTGCTGTGTCTGCTGTGCCTGCTGTGTCTGCTGTGCCTGCTGTGCTTGCTGTGATTGCTGTACCTGCCGTGCTTGCTGTACCTGCTGTGCCTGCGTGTCGTGGACACGTCTCCAGAGAACGTCTCTCTGTTTCCGTGGCCACTGACCATTACGGTGACCGTGCATCATGTGACCTGTACCTGTGTCTCTCGCTGTGTCATTGGTCACTCTGGCCATACCCCCGTGCATCATGTGACCCGTGCATCACGTGACCTGCTGTGCCTGTGTCTCGCTGTGTCGATGGTCACTCTGGCCATACCCCCGTGCATCATGTGACCTGTGCATCATGTGACCTGCTGTTCCTACTGTGCCTGTCTTTTATGGACGCCTCTCCATAGTGAATCTGACCTTAACGGTGACCTTGCCCGTGCATCATGTGACCTGCTGTACCTACTGTTCCTACTGTGCCTGTCTTTTATGGACACCTCTCCGTAGTGAATCTGACCTTAACGGTGACCTTGCCCGTGCATCATGTGACCTGCTGTACCTACTGTTCCTACTGTGCCTGTCTTTTATGGACACCTCTCCGTAGTGAATCTGACCTTAACGGTGACCTTGCCCGTGCATCATGTGACCTGCTGTACCTACTGTTCCTACTGTGCCTGTCTTTTATGGACACCTCTCCGTAGTGAATCTGACCTTAACGGTGACCTTGCCCGTGCATCATGTGACCTGCTGTACCTACTGTGCCTGCTGTGCCTGTCTTTCACGGACACCTCTCTGTGGAGAGTCTCTCTCTCTCCGTCTCTCCCTCTCCGTGTGTCCGCCGTAACTCCGCCGACCCCGTGCCCCTCCCCCCCGCTCCCACCCACGTGACCAGCGAGCGCCTGCTGTACCGCTGCATGCACCGCATGTCGAGCCTCGTGCTGGCAGCGCAGTCGTCGCGCCTGCGCTCCTCCTACACCAAGTTCTCGGCGCCGGCGTGGCTCGGCGTGAGCCAGTGCCCCGCCCTGGACGCCTCGCGCTTCCTCAAGTTCTGCGCCGTCGACGTCTGCGACGGCGCCCCGCCGTGACGGGGCGGCGTGCGTGGTCTTGCAAGCGGCACCGGCGTTAAACGACGGACGTGGGGGGCGACGAGCGGTGGCGCAGCGGTTAGCGCGCTGCGCCACGACCCCCAGAACTTGTTTCCCCGCTCGCGACCCCGACAGTAGCGGCGGCAAAACTTCTAAACCTCGTCCTGGGCCCCCCCACTAGGTCGACTCGGCCTCAATTGGGTACCCGGTGCAGTGTGTTGGCGGCGGCGTTGGGGCGTGGTGTTGGCCACCCACTCTAGCACTCCCCTCCTGTGCCCTTCCGACTTTTGATGCTTGCCCCGACAATCCGTTAATGGTTATATGGGGGATATTTATATTTGTGTGCGTGCGGTATTTGCTGTGGGGTTTGCACGGTCGTATTTTTACACGCGTGGAGATGCAGTGACGTCTGTAGAACAGACACGTCACGCACGCACACACGCACACATCCAAACAGACGTGCACACGTTTGTCAACACAGATCCACAAACATAACCAACACATCGCCACCATCAAACCATCACAACATCATCGCGGACACACCACCGTTGCCATCATCACACCACTACAACACCATCATCATCGTCGCCATCATCACCACCACCACCATCATTTTCGTTGCATCACCATTACACCATTGTTACGCTACTCACGAACATGCATATCGTCATCATAACACAACCACCAGGTCAGCGTTTCTTTGAAAGCGTTCTAAAGAAGGATAGAGTTTCTTGAGGAAGGCCGCTTGGCAAAAAACATGTTTGCATTCTTTCGCGAGGTCAGCCTCCGTGCAAGAAAGCAGATGCCAGCTGAAATGTCAAGGTCTTGAAGAGCAGCCTGCTAAAGAATTGTCGCACTTTCTACAAACGCAAAGTTGACGAGAATTTGCTTGACTTGGGAGAGACCTCTCGGCCCGAGGCAAGTCGGGGCGAATGTTGAGCACTTTCTCTTGGCGACGGCAAAACAAAAATAACAACCCCTGGCTTTTATTTTGGTGAAGCCGGTGGCGGTGGTGGTGGCGTGTTGGGCCTTCCGAAGGATCTCGTCATTCGCGTCTTGAGAACGTTTTGTCCGCTTACTTGTACGCTTGGCTAATTGCCTTCATTTTGAGCGTCCGTCGCAGTGAAAATTCTGCGTACGAGCGAGAATACGCGCACGGTGCCGCGTTTTTAATATCTGACATGCAGCTGGGCAAGGTCACGATGTTCAAATCATGCCCCCCCCCCCCCCCCCGGGGGTAAATTCGCGTGTTAGTTGACTCGCACCGGAGTGGCGATCCGCCTGCCAGCCATTGCGAGAATTGACGTGGCGGTGGTTCGTTTGAGGACAGACTCAGGGAGGGGGTGGGGGGGGTGCCCACGTCACAAAGGATGTGGAATTTACAAAATAGTTTGGAGACCTGCCTAGCCCAGTTGAGGGCGAGGGTTAATGTCTTTGAAATGAGGAGGGGGGAGCGTAACCCCCCTCCCCCCCCCCACGAAAGTAAACGTGTGCGGAGACTTGACGAGGCTGGTCCCGTGTCTCCGACACTGCAGGGGGTGCAATAGAGGGGTAGAGATTTAAAAAATGACGTTATGGAAAAAAAACGTACGCGGTCATCGTCCACTCCTTTGTCAGCGGGTCACATCGGTGCATCTTCTTGGTTCTTTCGGTAAAGTCACGTAGAAGGGAAGTAATAAAATAATAAAAATAAAACATTAAATAATTCTCACGACGTTTCGGCCACAATGCAAGCAGCCGTCCTCAGGTGAACGGCTGCTTGCGTTGTGGCCGAAACGTCGTGAGAATTTTTTTCTTATGTTTTATTTGTATTATTTTATTACTTCCCTTCTACGTGACTTTACCGAAAGAACCAAGAAGATGATCTCTACATTTGATGGCTATAACATATGTGTCACCTTTAACAAAAAAATATTCCACGAGACGATATTGTTATTTTTGTTTTGTGTGGAGCGTCGTGGGGGTGTGTAGTGGTCAGTCACGGCTAAGATCAGTGGCGAGTGATGTTTGAACCGGTTGCCTGGGCTTGCCTATCCCCCCCCCCGCCCGCCCGCCCATCATTCGCCAAAAGACTGCATCATTAGAAGACCAATCCAGCAGTGAATTAACAGGAGGGCTGAAAATGGATATAAAAATTAATTGTTCAAAGAATTATACTTATGATGTGAATTATGTAAAGAAAGAGGACGAGTTTTAATTGTATGTCTAAGGCACTTCTATTTAAGACTTTGGAAACTTTAGTCGAGTTCGCGTGACGTTCTGTTTATGTGCGTGTGAAGATGGGAGCGGTGGTGCAGCGGTTAGCGCTACGAACCCAGCGAGCCGAGTTCGATTCCCGCTCACGGCCAACACCGGCGACGATTCTATCTGAACCGGTCCTGGGCCTCCCCTAGGGTCGACTCGGCCTCAAACGAGTACCCGGTGTGGTGTTTAAACATCGCCACTGGGGAGACAAAGGCGGTCGGGCGTGGTTGCTGGCCACCCATCCCCCTCGTGTGCCGTGCCGGCCTTCATAGGTGCTCGCTAACAGCACTTGCCCCAACAGTCTATAAAGGCTATACGGGGGGAGGGGGGGATCTTTGTCTATAAAAAATGGGTAACTTTGTTTATGATGCTAATATTTTCCACGTGTTTGCTGCTCTGTCGTGGCCCACATCTCGCGTGTGTCCGTGCTGCCTTGTGTTCGTTTGTTTTGTTACGTGGTGCTGTTCAACACACAATGCGTTTAGTTGTCTTGAGATTATTTTTTTTTTGAGAACGGCGAAATAAAGTGTCAACAATAGTGTCGATTTTTAACCCACCACCACACAGTCAGTCTTCACTCGCTCGCAGAATCATATTTACATTGCAGGAGGAATCTGATGAGCTTTTTTTTTTCTCACAAATGTCCAGTAGGGGCACAGGGTAAGAGCGTTCCAACAACAAACAGTACACAAACACGATATTAGTGCAGAGTACAAGAAAGGTAAACCAATCACCCAAACACAAACAAAGACAATACTAAACCATCCCCATCCTACCAAGCAAAACCCACTCAGGTATTTATTTTTTAGAAGCGACTTGTCTACCGCAAATGATGAGCTCAACAAAGTGGCCCCCATCATATGGACATTCATAATAGAATAAGTATAACCAGTAAAAACAACATTTTTCACTATAAATCCTTTATATGCGTGGCGGCTAGTGTCCTCTCGTCCTCTGGCTTGAGATGGCTACCACCTATGGGTCAGATGATTGTCTGCCAGTATTAAGCAATTGGTAATTAAATATTTAATTTGTTTTCCCTAAACAGTGTAAAATTTTGGAATTTTTTTTTCAAGAACATTAATTGTCTCGCACAACGAGTCTGTGTGCAAAATGTCAGCTCGATTGGATCACGGGAAGTGGGTTAAAAAACGACCGAAAGATTTGCACGGTCGTAAGCAAGCACGCAAGCAAGCAAGCGAACTTAATATAAAGGATTTAAAAATACTCACAATGCATCTATATTTTTTTAAAGACCGGCGTTCCGTTTGTCCGTCAAACTAAATTATGAGAGCCTTTCAGAAGGGCCTGGATCTAAAAGTTATAGAAAGTGGACCCCCCTCCCCCACCACCAGATGTGGGGGTAAAAAGTTGATTCAACAGGGTTCCAAAATGTTGGAGGCATGTAAAGGGTGCTTCCAAAACACATTCCTGCGGAGGGAGCTGGTAGGAACGTTGGGTTGCTCGGTCAATGGCCAGGGTCAACGATGGCGTGGTGTATTCCGCAAATATGCCCGACTGAGGGCGGGCACAAGCCAGCGTGAGTAGGTTAAACGTTGAGTTTTATAAGGGCACCACGGGGTGACCAGCCCCTCTCCACCCAGCCTCACCCAGCCCCTCCCCACCCAGCCCCTCCCTGGGACACAACAATCCCCTGTGGGCTGGTGTAACCAGGAGGTTCCTACCAGTAAAATGGTAACACTTATATGGGACTATCGTTTTAATGGAACGCATAATACACTGAATCACGATAACAAAAGTAATGTTAATGGATTCAAAAAGTCAGTCTCTACTTGTTCGCCATCATTGTCAACGCTACGCCTGGAATCTTCTCCAGAGCCCGGAGGCACATGTGGTGTTGCAAATTCTCCGAAGTGTTCACATTTTTTTGAAGCACCCTGTATACACACCCTACGTATGATAGTGGCAGTAGTATCGACTGGCAGTCGTATCTACTCACTGTTGTAGGATCTACCAACTAGTAGCAGCTAATGGCAGTAGTATCTGCCATTGTCTAGTGGCAGCAGTAGCCACTAATGTAGTATCTACTAACTAGATTGCATGTAGGGTTCATACTCTTAGGCTTTTTCGGTAAACTCTCGTAGGTAAAACATAAAATTATAGAAATAAAATAATAAATCACGACGTTTCGAAGGCAACACAATTCTCCGTCATTAGGTGGGACCGTCACAGCCAGATTTGCTGTATCAAGTGAGTGTCGTAGTAAGCTCACTTGATACAGTAAATCTGGCTGTGACGGTCCCACCTGATGACGGAGACCTGTGTTGCCTCCGAAACGTTGTGATTTATTATTTTATTTCTATTAGAAAATTTTTATATAGTTATTATTACTTATTTTTTCCCCTACGTGACTTTACCGAAAAAACCTAAGAGTATGAATCCTTGCAGTCACGAAAGCTTCAAATCTAGAATGCACACAAACTATACGATAGGGGTAGAGTATGGTTAGGGGTAAGCAAAGGACAACAAAATGAACAAATGTAACCCAAGTTTCGATTTAAAGCTTTCGTGACTGCAGGGATTCATATTCTTGGTTATTTCGGTAAAGTCACGTAGAAGGGAAATAATAAAATTATTAAACAATACAATTCTCACGACGTTTCGACTTTACCAAAAGAACCAAGAAATTTAACCAAGCTTTTAATTCTTCTTGGTTCTTTCGGTAAAGTCACGTAGAAGGGAAATATTAAAATAATTAAAATAAAACATTAAATTCCTATTGATATGCAAATTAT